AAAACAAAACCTCATTTAACTTTCACGATCAACTTCTTCCCTCCAAACCCCAAACACTCCCTGACTTTTCCTTCACTGCCATGACCTAATTCCTGGGGTTAATTCCAGGGAATAATTACACTTCCACAAGAGAGAGGGCACAGATTCAGCAGAAGTTTAGGTGGATCGACACAAAACAATTGTGGGGTTTTTTTTTGTGGAAATGCACTTGTGCTCTGCTGTTTGTATCTCCCAGGGAGAGAAGGAAAAAATTCCTAATTCCTGCCTCAGAAATGTGTCAGGATTGGGTTTTTTTGGGGTTTTTTGTTGTTGTTTTTTTGTTTGTTTGTTTGTTTGTTTTTTTATTTTCATGGATTTGGGAGCTGAGGATTTTCTGTGTTCATCAGGAGGAGGGAAAGAATGGGAGAGACCCAGCCTGGAGTCTCTGGAGAGAGGGAAAACACAACCCCAACCCCCCCCAACTTGTCCTTTTTCCTGGGAATTCTCCCCCTGGAGCTCTCCTGACACATCTGGGCACAGCAGCAGCGATGGGAAAGGCTCCCAGGCTGAAATTAGAGCAGAAAAGTTGGGAATTGGAAGGCCAAGGAAAGGTGTGGAGTCTCCATTTCCAGAGATATTCCCAATTCACCCAGCTCCAGAAATCCCTTCCCAGCCTGAAAATTCTGGAATTCTGTGAGCTGAAGTTCATTTTCTAGAATATATCAAGGCAAGAGGGTCTTGAGCTGGATTCTCTCACCTGCTCTGGTTTGTCCTGGGGCAGAATTCTTTCTTTTTATAAATTTTATTCTACCTAAATTAAGTGTTTTTAAAAAAAAAAAATCTAAAATCATTGAAAATTATTGTAAAAAGAAGAGCTATGCAAAAATATCTTGCCAAAATATTCTTTAACTACTGTTAAAACACATTGGGAAAAAAAAATCCAGAACTTCCAAAGGAGGTGCAAGAAACTCCCAGGAGTGTAAATTGAATTTCTTGGTGTCACATTTGAGATCACTTGGTGAAAAATGGAAATGCTCAGCACAGGATTGTACCATAAATATCATTTTATCTGCAATTTATTCCAAGGGAGGAGGAGCAGATTGATTTTTTTTTTCCAAACAGGGTGAGCTTTACAAGAGAAAAAAAAATTTACCTGGAAGGGTTTCCCAATGGCCATGGAGCCAGGGCTTCATTCCCACATTTCCCATTTCCCAGCACCACAATTGCTGCTGCTGCTCATTCCAGACATTGGGATCAGCTCCTGTCTGCCACCATGTTCCTTCTGTCTGCAAATCAGGCTTGTGCTGCCCAGCATTTGAAAAAAAAAACAAAAACAACAACAACAAAAAAAAAACCACCAAAAAAAAAAAACCCCACAAACAAAATAACCAAAAAAATACAAAAAAACAAAAAAAAAACCAAAAAAAACCCAAAAAAACCCCCCAAAAACCCCCAAACAAACAAACAAAAAAACACACAAAAAAAAAAAAAGAAAAAAGAAAAAAAAAGGAAAAAAGGAAAAAAAAGGAAAAAAGGAAAAAACCCCAATTTATTGCTGATGAATCTCCTTGAAATTCTGCCTGCCTTACTTGTGCTCCCCACAGCAATCAGATTTGTCACTGAGGAAATAGAAAATATCCTCCAGGGTGTCAAATTTGGTTTTTAGAAGGTTTTTTTTTTTTTTTTTTAACATTGAACAATGGAGAAGAGGTTGGTGAGCTCTGACACTGAGCTGATCCTTCTGAGGTGCAGAGAGGGGATCAGGGGGAAAAAAAGGGGTGGGCAAAGAATTTGGAACAAAGGAAAACAATGTTGAGGGATGGTGAGGAAAATAAAGAATTTTTTTTTTTTTTTGCAAAAATTATAGTTTAAAGCATTTCCCAGCGTGGTAAGAATATAGAAGCATTATATATATAATTTTTTTTTTAATTAATAGAAATACAAAATTGAGTTTGGGGGACCTTAAAGCTGATTTCATTCCAGCCCTGCCCTGCAGTGACACTTTCCACTATCCCAGGTAGCCCCCAGCCCTGTCCAGCTATGGGTGAGAAATTCATTTTTTTACAAGAATATATGAATTTTTTTTTTTTGCATTAAACACGATGTATTCACTTCCCAGAACGATATGAGTGAGTACCTTTCCTCTCACCGTGATACAAAATAATCACAATCATTTTAGCCCCAAGGCACAGAACGATGTTCAGCAATTTATTAACTGGACACAACATTAAAAAAAAAAAATAAAACCTGAATAAAACCAGCCCTGAAAGGAGGAGATGCTTGGATCAAGGTCCAAAGCGCCTCCAGAGCAAAAGGTTTAATTAATTTATTAATTAATTAATTTACTTTGGTAAAGCCTGGCCAGACTCTGCGTTTTCCTGGGAATAATCCACTTTTTGGGTGTGAAATTTCCTTTTCCACACGGGAAAAGCAGAGGAGAGAAAGGGAAGAATTCAGGGATAAAAGCTCAGCTTAATTAAACTCCCCTGGTTTTGGTTTAACCCCAGGAGCAACTAAACCACACTGAGCCCCACGGTGGGATGGGGAATTGGCAAAAAAAAAAAAAAAAAAAATCCCATGGATTGGGATTGAATAATAAATATTAAAAATTATATTAAATATCATATTTAACAGCAGTTTAAGAGTTGAAATTTGAAAATCAAGGAAGAAAAAAGGAGCTAATAAAAGGAGAGAAAGAAAGAAAAGTTTTTCCTGATCCCCAGCCCAAACCTTCCCTCAAATCCCTGTGCTCTGATTTGGGGGTGGATGACAGCAAGGGACAGAAGAATGGAGTAATTAAAAGGAAAAAAAAAAAAATTAATTAGAAGAGAAAAAAAAAAAAAAAATCCCCATAAAATCATGGAATGGTTTTGTTTGGAAAGGACCTTGGGCAGGGATATTTATTAATCCATTCCAGCAATGTTTGATTAGAAAATGATCCTGGTTTTTTTCCACCAGAATTCCAGCTGCAAGAAGGAGAGGAGCAATTTGGTCTTTGCTTTAGCCAATTGTGCCTCTCTGAGCCTGAAAGGATGTTTTTCAAAAAAAAGGCAAAAACCACCACCAATATTAGAGCTACATTTATAAAATCAGATCATTATTAATTATTAAAACACGATCTCATCACCCCAGAGTGTGCAAGACAAGCCTTGATTTGATGAGGAATTAGATGATGATCTCCAGATAACGAGCATCAAATTTAAAAAAAAAAAAAAAAAACAACTAAAAACTAATTTTAAAAATCCTTCTGACCTCACTCAGGCAGTGTTTGGAAGGGATAATGTAAAATAAAATAAAATAAAATTTTTTAAAAAGCCAAAAAAAACCCCCAGACCCTGTGGTTTAGCCAAGCTGGCTGCACGTCCTGTTTATTGCAGCATCCCAAATACCAACCCTGCAACCTGAGGGGAACAATTTTGGTTTTTTTTCTTTTAGTTGATCCCTGTAAAAAAAAAATTAAAAAAATCAGGAGACACAGGGAGGGGAAGAAGGCGGTGGTTCCACCTTGTGTGAGCTTCTTCCTCCAACAACTGGAAGTTTGAGTGATTTCCACAAAGATTTGTGGCCAAAGTGGTGCAGAAAAAAAAAAAGCCAAAGCAGTTTCCAAACACCTCCGTGCTGGTTTTTTGGGGTTTTTTTGGTTTTTTTGGGTTTTTTGGGGTTTTTTTTGTGGTTTTTTTTTTGGTTTTTGGGGGGTTTTTTGGGTTTTTTTTGGTTTTTTTGTTTTTTTTTTCACGCTGGCAAAGGGAGGTGTTGGGGTTTGTGGTCACCTCCTGGGGCTGGGAGCAGTGTGGTTGTCACCTCATTTCTCTGCCATTCCATTTTCCACCTGGAAAAAAAAAAAAGGGTTAATGCCATTAATGCCAACCCTGCCTGTCAGGGGTGAGCTGAGGAGAACTCTGCCTGCTCCTGCAAGGTGTTTAAAGGGGAACTTCAAAGCAAAGTTAATAAACACCAAAAATACAAGTCACCCTCACAAAGGCCTGCCTGTGCTCTGAGAGTGCTTTGGGAGCAGTATTTATATTTTTTTTTTAATTTTTTTTTACGTTTTCCTGACACAGTTCTTCACTTCTCTTCCCGCAGAGCTTTGGTGCCAAACAAGTTCTGTGCACTCAGAGCAGGGAGAAATAATAAATAGATTTTTCTGGCTGGGGATAAGGGAGGGTAAAGAAGAATTTTTGGAGTTGAATCTTGTGGTGACAATTGATTGAGAATATTTCTCACCCAAAATGAAAATGAGACTTTTCCTGAGGAAGAACCTCTTGGTGCTGCTCTTTCTCCCTTGTGAGTTGGCACCAATGGAATTTGCACCAGTTCAGGGGATGAGCTGGATCTTGGCTGTGCCCTTGCACTGCTGGCAATCCCATCTGATGGGAAAGGCTCCTTGCAGGAGGCTGAAACAGCCCCAAAATTCTGCTGGGTGCTCTGGGGCAGCACAGGAAAGGGTGGAGGGGGGGGTCCCAAATTTCACTTGGTGGATGCAGGCTATGAAAATATCTAAAAATATATGAATATATATGAAAATATATGAAAATATTGGCAATCAGGAGGAATTTTTGGACATCAGGAGGAATTTTGTGACGGACAGGGTTGTTAAACATTGAGCTGGGCTACCCAGGGAGCTTTGGAGTGCCCATCCCTGCAGGTGGCACCTGGAGGTGGCACTCAGGGTGACAAGGTGGCCGTGGGGACACAGCTGGGACTTTTCCAACCTCAGGAATTGTGTGAGGCAGGCAGAGATCCTGGAGCCAGCCTGGCACTGCGGGGATCAGGAAAATTGGGATGGGAAGGGGAGGTCACAGGGGGTCACACTTGGCTTTCCTGCACTCCAGGAGATGTGCAAGGAGAATGTGGAATGAGCAATGAAATGCCAGCGTGGGGCTGCAGTTGGAAGGATGTGGCTCTTGGCTCTGCCAGCCCTGGGCTGAGCCTGCTGGAGTTTAAAATAATCCCCATGGATGAGGTATTTTACACATCTTGTGTGACTCCACATGTTGGCCTTCACATCCAGGGTCAGGAGCCCAAAGCTGGAGGAACTTCCAGCTTTTCTCTGCTGACAAATGCAGAGACCAACCAGAATGTCAGATAAAAGTCCTTTTCATCTGTCTTTGCTTCTCCCCTCCTTTTTTTATTTCATTTCTTTTTTTTTCTTTTTTTTTTTTTTAAAGCCCTAATGGGTCTCTTTAATGATGAAACCACTGCTATATAATATGTCTTTTTATATTTTAATTCCTCCCCTTCCCCTTGGGATAATTTACAGCACAGTGTGGAATCTGAGACAGTTCAAGCTGTGCCAAAGGGCCTGGCAAGGGGAAGAAATGCCGAGCCACTGAGATTTGGAACCATAAGACGAGTTATAAAATTTAATTTTAGAAATGCAGCTACTGGGAAACTGCTTTTAAATGCACATTTTCCTTTTAGTGCATAAAATGGGCCTGTGTGTTGATTGAGCTGTCAGGGTGGCTTTGAAAGAGTTCTCTGTGGAGGAAGGGGCCTGCAGGGCCCTGCAGAGAAATTTTTGCTGCTTATTCAGGGATATTCAACATTGAGAGAGGGATTTTTGGGAATGTTTATGGATTAAAGGTGAAGGGGAGGAGTGTGGAAGAAGGACCAGTGGTAAAAAAAAAAAATAAATTAAATAATGCCTATTTTTTATATAAAAACAGAATGGTTTGGGGTGGGAAAGACCTTAAAGATCATTTCATCCCAGCCCTGCCATGGCAGGGACACCTCCCACTGTCCCA